TTTGTCATCATTTCTGTCGTTAAGTTTTACCTTACAAGTAAATAAAACCGAGTAATTATCATTCTGTGTTTTCTTCTTCAACTTATCACAGCAATGGTAAAAACAATTAGGTAATCATTGGCTGTCGCGGGCCAGATTGATGACACTGGCGGGCCGGATTTGGCCCGCGGGCCGTAGTTTGAAGACCCCTGGGCTAACTATTTTCCTTTTATGTATGAATGTACTTATTATGCATAATGAACGATATTACAATTATTTAACAAATTTCAGGCCATCCACAAACTCGATTTTCCTGCATTCGACTGGCCCATTGCGCATTTCCCCGAATACAAATACCCTCTGAAGGAAAACATCCGTGAGAACCAAAAAGAAGACGAAAAATGTTTAGCCGAAGTAGAGGATCTGATGGAAACCTACAAGAAGAAAAACTGCCCCGTCGCGGGGGTGATAGTTGAACCGATTCAGTCAGAAGGAGGTGACAACCATGCTTCTCCCGAGTTTTTCCAGTGCTTGCAGAAGATCTGCAAGAAACATTGCGCCGCTTTGATCATCGACGAGGTTCAAACCGGATGCGGGTCCACCGGGAAGATGTGGTGCCACGAACACTTCAATTTGGAGACACCTCCGGATATAGTGACGTTCAGTAAGAAAATGCAAATGGCTGGATACTTCCACTCCAAAGAAATGTCGTGAGTATGAGAAGGATTTTATTACATTTTGTATGGAGGGTGATTATTTAGCCCTTAACATTGCCCCTTATCATTCTAGAAAACACATCAATCATTGAAGAAAATGGCAAAAACGGTGATTGACAATGTTTCATGATGAATTTCACTAGTTCGGACTTCCATTGTCTACTATATAAAATGATTTGAAATCCCTGAAACAACTAAAAAAGAAGAATTGAAAATGAATAGCTGAAAATAAGAATTATTTTAACCAAAATAATCCTGAAATGAAATAATAGTGAAATAAAATACAAGTAACAATAGAACGATTGAATAAATAAAAACAAAACAAAAATAAAGGGATGAAAAAAGAAAATAAAAAGTGTAGAGATTCCAAGTCACGTTAGTTCACGACGTTTCGATTGTTAGTATCTACAATCGTCTTCGGGTGATGACTGGACTGATTCCTCCGAGAGATGACTATTTATAGGTCGTTCGAGTACTTTC